CGGCTGAGGAAGAGGTTTTTTTTTTTTATGTTTTAGCCTGGTTTGTGTTGAATATTGATTCAACTTTGCACAAAAAAACATAAAAATATAGTCTATGGATTTATATGTGGTCTGAACTCAGGCTCACATTGTGTACATTAATTCGCACAAACTTGGAAAAATTGACTTCTACCGACAGTATACGTGCACGTGCGTTACTGTGGCCGTCTAATGTTATCATTTATCTTGGGGTTTTACCGTGTTTATAAAGTAGCTTTTCTGCCAAAACTAACTGCTCGGCTGTGTTACTAACATTTTTTTTTCTTGTGAATCAGTACGGCGTGTGATTTCTAATAAATGACATTTCCACTTGATGGTTCTTGGACTCTCAGACTGGCGGTCTGCGTTCATGCCCAGGCCTCACTCTGGAGGATTACTGTGTTTTGTAACTTGATATTTAACTTGGGTGAACATCTGAAGCAGCACCAGTGGTCTCAAACCCACACGAGCTGAGGTCCGCTGCCGCCGCCGTCATTTCACCAGGGGGCCACGTCAATTATCGATGCTCGATAGCATAAAAAACATTTCGTTTTTCGTGTTGTTTAATCCTATAAATACTGTAAAATACAACAGTGCTAGTGACAATAAATGTAAAATAAATCCTATAGTGCAACGATCCACAACCCCTGGTATGGGGATAATTCAGCAATTTTTCAAAATTCTACATCTTTCAGGTTCCAGTACTGACAGGATGAAGCCTCAAAAATTAACCAGTGGACTATTGTGAAGATTCCCGTCATTCGTATCTATGGAAGTTCTTTATCGTGACGGATCTACGGTCGACTTCTGCTAGAATACCCGCGTCTGCTTTGCTTCATATTAGCAGGAGCCGGGACCAATGAGAGGAAGAGACGACGTATACGAAGACTGGACTGTGGACTTGAGAGACCTGACTGGACGTCACTGCACTGAAGCTGAGAGTTGTAGGACTGTGATTATGAATAAAAGACTGAAATATCGGATCTCTGTCTGTGCTTGGAGTTACGTCAATGTGTCGATGAATCGTTTTTTAAGAATAATATATATGTATACGACGTGTGTGGCCGTGGGGGAGACCTGGTAGAGCACCACCGGTCCGTCGTACTGACCGGTATCGGCCGAAAAAAAAGAGCCGTATGCGACCCGTGTGCCAGGTGTTTGAGACACCTGGCTAACATTTTTTTACTTTGTCAAAAGCAAAGATACTATAAAGTCCATCAGAAGTCAAATATTGTCAATGAGTCGTAACTTTAAAACAATGCAGGACAAAAAAAACTTTTCAATGTAACAAGTTTATTTCAACTGAAAATCTGTACTTAGTTCTACCAGGTCGCTGTGTTCAGTAGTTATTATTTCCTTCTTTATTGGCAACAATCTAAAGAACCACAAGTAAAAAAAAAAAGAAAAAAAAAGTTTGTAAAGACAATAAAATCCACAATGTCTTGTGTCATTAAATATATTCATATATAATAACCGTAATATATTAGTACGCATTGAAAAAAAAAACAACATTGCAAAATAAGGAAAGGTCTTTGCAATGGTAACAACTAAACATTTACAATTCATAGTATGAACACAAAGCAAGGCTTTGACAGGTACGGGTGTAGCATTTCATCAGGGAGCTGAACCAGAATCACTCCGGAATAAACAATGTACAGTATGAGGCTTCAGAACGTGGAGAGTGTGAACTGCTGGTTTTAAACATGTGTCAGGGCTGTCGAACTGAAGGAGGTAAATCGTGAAATTGATCGGATGAAACGTTTTTTGCGCGGTTTTTTTTTTGTAACGCGTGCGCAGGATGAGCTGTGCTGTATATCCAATATTTTCACACAGTTTTGACGTTAACTCACACTGCAAGAAAGTTTACTTTTCACCAAGGCACCTGGTGTATACATATATATGCACATACACATACATAGTTGTGAATATATGTGTATATATATTTTTATATATACACATATATACCAATGTATATATATGTGTGAATATATATGTATATATTTATATATATACACACATATGTACATATATGTATCTATATATTTAAATATATATACATATATGTGTGAATATATAGGTATATATATATATTTATAGTTAAGCTGTTCACCATTTGTCAATATATTTTTCCCAACATTCTAAATGTGCCATGAACTGTTTCAAGAAGTTGCTCAAACACCCAAAGCGTTGCTCAATCCTTGGTGATGGACTTAAAGAAGCCCTGGTTTACAAAGTGGACAGCGTTTGAATGAACGGTGTGTTTGAAATGGTCCAGCATCAAGTGATTGACCGTACACTGTGTGTGGACAGCGAACCTGTGTTTCAGTCTCGTAGTGTTCCGTCACACATTTTGATACGATTTCCTGTTTGTTTGTTTTTTGTTTGTGTGTCTTTGCGTTCCCTTCTGTACAAGTCCTTTTCATCCCGTGCTTCCTTATTTGCAAATCTTTCCAAGAAAAGATCGTTTGTTTTTTGTATCACCTTACGTGCGACAGAGATCAGAAAAAAAAAAGAATTTCCTCCTTTAAAAAATACATTTTTCCACACAGTGTTTACAGTTTGTCGTGAGCTGGTGTGAAGAAAAGAGACACATTCTAACATCTGCATCGTTGCACTTGGAACAGCTAAGTGCAGGTCATGGTCAGTGGTGACGGCGTGTTAGAGCGGCGGCTCTGTTTGCCTGGGGCGGAGCCTCGAACTCCGTATGAAGCTGGGACTTCAGCTTCTGATGTCATCGTGTTCCTATCAGGGCTGTTGTTTTATTTTACGAGAGTTTTGAATGAAAGCTCTGGGGTTGCGATCAGTGACTGTTGAATGTGTCTTTGCCTGGAAATGTTGAACCATGAGTGACATAAGCAGCACCAGTTAAAACAAACTTAACGTTAAGCATTTACATGTAACTTTGTACAAACACTGACTGCGCCTCAGAAATGGATGAAACAAACCAAACAGATCAGATCTGTCTCTACTGAAGTTTTATTCTAGTGGTTCTCCAAGTGTGGGGCGGGTCCCTGTGGGGTGGCAGCTGGGTAGATTTTGTGTTTTTGATTGTTAATATTTTACTTTTATGTCCATCAGTATGGAGTATAAACAATTTCCTTTTTGACTGACAATAGTAATTTTCGAGGTATTACAGTGTTTTAGGTAAAGTTGAATGGAGTTTTGAAGCTGTGGATGTGGTGTGTACAGTAGCTGCTGAGAAAGTTTTGGAACCACTGCCTGGGCCAGAGAAGGTTAGCAACAACGTCCTTGCTTTTTCAGCTGAAAATGAGGCAAGAGTTGTACAAGTCAGGTGAACTAAGAGCCGGAGCGTCACTCAGGACTGTGAAAATCCTCTCTGTGGTTCAGTTCTGATCAGGAGTTCTGCCTCAGTGAAGTCTGTCGTTCAAACAAGAGCTAAGACGACGGTAACAAAACCATGCAGAGGCAGAATTGTAGTGGTTATTACGTGGGGGGTTTGTGTGTCATTTTGCACCTACAGAAAATAAAAAAAACCTTTATAATTTCTTATTGAAATAACAAGAAACAAGTACTTTAATATACTGGTATTAGGTGCAAATTCGGCAAATCCACAAGAGACGAATCTCCAAAGTAAAAAACAAAACAAAACAAAAACATTTAAAAAAAAAACCCAAATCTGCAGAGTGAGCTCCTTCAACAAAAGTTCACTAGAAAAAACAAATCATCCTAAATAATTATCTTCATGCTTCTACACAAAAAAGCAGCAACTGAAACAGTCTCTTCTCTGTCTGTGGTCCTCTGTCCATCTCTTGCCGTCTCTCTCTCTCACTCTCTCCCCCTCTCTCTTTTATCCAAATCACCTGCTCGGAGTTTCTTTTGAATTCCTCCTCGAGCCCTGACGTCCTCCAATGTTTTTCCGCCTATGGCTTCTTGCACTTGCCTTTCTTCTCCCGCTGCTGGAACTTCCTCAGCCTGCGTGCCCACGTGTCCCTCCACTGAATAACCAGACTGCCCTTGTCCGCCACCACTCCGCTCTGCCCGGGGGAGTCCTCGTCGTTCCCCAGCAACAGGTACTTCTTCCCAGGCTTGATCTTGGGACACTTACAGGCCACGTCTTTGGCCCGGACCCACAGGAACTGGTCCCCGCGGCGGATGCGGCTCTCGCCCTGCTTGTAGACGGAGATGATGTTGACGGTGAACTTCCACCACTCTCCGGCCTTTTCTGTCTTCAGAATGTGGACCTGGACGGCTGCGGGAGGGGAAGACAATGACAGAAAATCATTTTCTGGGACAAACGTCTCAGCTGTTGCATCAGAGCTGGAGGCCACATGCCCTAAAAACCTCCCGGCACGCAGCGTTTGGCCACAAATATGATGTGGCCGTGTGCTTTTCGCTGTGAAGCCGCCTCTTTGTCAATGATTTTTCCATGCCTAACTGTGGTGAAGTAGACAAATATACCCCCGTCCCCCTGAGCCAAGAGTTCCCTAATAACTATTTCCACTCTGTATGTCACTAGATATTTATTGAACTGCCTAAATCAGATACCGTAGGTTAAAAACGAATCATGGAGAAATGCAGCTACTTTTTATTTTAATGAACATATACTTTTTTTGGGGAGGTTTTTGTCCCTCGACCAGAAAACAGTAAAAAGAAAAACGCTGGTTTTCTTCCAAGTACTTCATCCACTGTATCCATTAATTACACATCAGGATACTGAAGTATTGCAGCTCATTTACTTGCGCGGTGGATATTTCCTTTTGAGTGATACCATTAGATATAAGAGTCCGATTTCACAATCACTCCTGCAAAATCATTTGAAAAGAGCAGAGGGAATGAGCTCGAGGAAAAGAAAATGAAAGTACGTTTGAATAGTTTACTCACCAAAATCTACCAATTTTAATGGGGTTTTTTTCGGTCACAGTGTCTGTTCATACTAGTACTCCCTAAGTAGGATCTATCAGAAGCAATGGGAGTGCTGATACATCATGAGCAATTAAAATAAAAATAAAATATATATATTTATATACATAAATATATACATACATATATAAAATATATATATACACATATGTACATTTATATAAATATAATTCTACAGTGTATGGTATTAAACATATACTGTCAGAATTAATCTTTTAATTTAATCAGCACCCAACATATTATATATATGTATAAATATGTTTGGTTCATATGAGTAAATATATATTTAACGTAGATCACTTTAGCCCGGTCATTTGAATTGTAGCTCTGAAGCCAAAAACATGTGGTGGTCCCTGCTCTGTACCACGGTGAGTACTCTGTACTCTCTCAGTGCAGTAATGGTCCAGTCCTGGCCTCCACTAAAACAACTCTGAGCCGCAGGTTTTTATGTCAACTTGGCGATGTCACAGAAACACTGCTACATGTTACAGTATGTGGAGAACATACAGGCTCCTGATGGTGCACTGCGTCCATTACATAATGAGATTAGGAGGGCAGGGTAGTGCTTTTAGAGACATTATGGCTGCAGAGACTCTCCGTGATATTCACATGATAAATGGACTTATACGGTCCTCGGAGGACGAACGTGACGCAAAAGAGAAGTAAAAAGGCAACCTGGTCTTTTATGGACCCGTCCATAGGAAGTACCAGTATGGATCCTATCGATCGGATCTCAATGAATCTCTGGGAAAGTTCCCCCGGTGCTGATGAGAGAGGTTTTTAAACCTAGCTCTTCATCTCCGGTGCATAGAAAGCAGCTGAACGAAAAATCAGTTTATATTTAGACCAAATGGTTTTGTTCTCATCCAGTGTCACCCCCCCCTCCCCCCCCTAAAAGAAAATAGGCTTGTGGTTTTACACATGGGGGGAAAGAGGATCGATCATTCAGTTCAGTCTCCAAATGTACTGTTTTGACCCAAGGAATGATATCAAATATTATTTTTATGATTCATCAGAAAAGGCAGAAATCAGCCGTGGAGCAAAGTGTCATTTAGATCTGAAATTACCCTTGAAATTCAAACCACTTTTTGGTTTCAGTGCGACTCGAAAATAAATGTGTTTTTTTTTTTTTAAAAACACGTTGAGAAAAGTGAAGCCTCTTAACCCTAAATATTATATTCAGTGTCTGTAGTCCATTTCCAACCCCCCTGTAGACCCCCCTTCAACTCCCCCCCACCCAACCTGGCTGAGATCAGGTGTTTGGTCCAGGCATGACCCACAAATGACCCCCACTTTAACTACCAGCTCTGACAGGTGTAGTCAACCTTCTGGGTACAGTCCAGACGTCCTGGCATTTTTAGATCAAACACCCCCCCACCCACC